TTGGAAGTACACTGAAGTATATGAGGTATAAACCTCATTGTTAACCAAAATTTATGTAATAACATCAGTTACTAAGAAAAAACATTTTTGATATGCAAATAAGCTAATTTGCATAATTTAACCCTTATACAGTCATAAAAACCGTTAAATGACAAAACGATAAAATACGACATTTATTTTAATCGACCTCTCATGAAGTTATTACTTATGAAATAATTCATATAGTTGCATTTATATATGTATAACAGATGTGCAAAATATTAAAAGTGTATCTTACATAACGACTGTGAAAAAAATTCTCCCCCTACCCAGATATTTGAGGGGAGGGGGTCAAAATGAAAATGGGCTTTAATTCATAACTTTGGAAGTATATGAGGTACAAATTTAATTTTTCACCAATATTTATGTTATATCATCAGTAATTCAGAAAAAATATTTTTTGATATGCAAATAAGCTAATTTGCATAATTTTACCCTTATAAAGTAATAAAAACCGTTAAATGACGAAGTGATAAAATATGGCATTTACTTTAATTGACTTCTTATGAAGTTATAACTTCGAGAAAAAATTTACAACAGATATGTACAATATAAAGAGGTTATTTTATATAATGAGTGTGAAAAGAATCTTACACCCTACCTTAATAATTTTGAGGGCTCGGGGGGGGGGGTTAAAGAAAATAATAGACTTTAACTCATAACTTTGAAATAATTTAAGAAAGAGCTTATATTTCTTCGCTGAAAATTGAGAAATCACATCAATAATGAAACAAATATTACATGGGGACAATACTATATTTCAACTAATTTGCATAATTTGAGCTTCAAACAGTCATGAGAATCATTATAAGGCAAAGTGGTTCTATACTGAAATTGACTTCACATGAAGTAAGGACTTTGACAATATATCCTTTCTTAATACTAGCATTTAAAATGGAAAAATGATATCAACAATTATGAAGCTATATTTCCCAACTATTTCAATGCCCATGGAGATTTTCATAGATATAATACTAGAGGCAAATCAAACTTCACCCTTCCTAAAGCAAAACTGAAAATTATGGCAAAAAACAATAGCCTTTAGTGGTTACTCCATATGGAACAATCTCCCAGAAGAAATAAAAAAGTCAAATTCCATTTCTTTTCTTAAATCAAAACTGAAAAAGCATATTCTCTTAGCTTATTAATCATTAGTTGACTATATCATTTCTTGTTTCTTCAGTAAGAAGGGTAGGCTCTCAAGGGAGGTACATGGGCCAACCTGGGGGCTGCTCCAAACTACTTAAGGTCTAAAATAATAATTCTGACCATACCAACCTTGGGGAAGGTAAAATAATAACTAATATTTTATAAGAATCACACTTTTAACGATTATTTGCGTCAATGCGGTAGCCTGGTATCTTTGAATAATAATTAATGAATCTACACATTCATAAAATTTCCCCATGGCATATGGCACCTTCTTGGCTTCAAATGAAACGAGCATCATGGATCCCCCATACCTTTATTTATTATAATCTAACTTTTGTGATTACATTCCGGTTTGATTCGTTGACAACATAATGATATACTTCATGATTTAACTACTATATGTACGGGTATTTAAGCATCACCTGTGGTGCCATCTATTATTAATAATATGTGTACACATAATGATTAAATGTATGAATAAATTGAGTTTAATTGAACTTGCAATGTTTCAGAATAACCCTTAAAAAGGTAACCATAACAATTCTAAAGTTTATTGAACCATATTCAGAGTCACTGTGGGGACTGGTGTCATATTCTAGGTTGTAGGTACCTGATGCAGTGAAAATGTCATCATATATGTTTGGGTTAACCCACTTATTCCCGTCCACACTCACTTTCCTTTGAGCCGCATGAACATGCAGCAAAACATTCTGTACCTGCAGTGGCACATGAGCAAGTGGTTTAACTTATTGCTTTGTCCTTGTATCGTTTGCATGTGCAAAATGACTTTGGGATTTTTGTTATATCAAGTTACGGTTTTTTGGTCATTTTAATGGTCTCAAGAGTAATATGAACCACTTGACATCCAAATCCATTCCCTGGCTCTGGAATCTCAAAAAGTGGTTTGTCAGCATTCATTGAAATGTATAATTGTTATAAACCAAAAATGCATCCATAGTTAGTGGTAATGCTCTAATATCATTTTGGATGCTGCAAACAAGTGTAATACATCCAATGATAGTTTGTTTTTATTTTTGAAATATAAACAAAAATAACGCAACTCCCCTAGACCAGAGATCGTGCCTATGTGGACAGTCAATAGAGACAGAAACTCACTTTAAAGTAGAATGTCATATGTTTGAAAATGAACGATTGAGTCTGTTTGCCTAAATGACTGATATCCATAGTGACTTTTACATGTATACAAGTCTAGGAAAATATTGTATAATAATGAATGAAAAAAACTGTTCAAAGGACACTTGGAAAATGTATGATAAATATGTTAGTCAAAAGGCGTGAAATAGTTACATTGTATGGTCTCTAATAGGTCGGCATCAACCAGGAATTGTCTTAATTCATGTATGTATCTTAATGTAACATCTTTAGTGTGTTCGACTTTAATTAATAAATTTACTACTACTACTAGTATAATATTGTTTCCATGTAATATTTGTTTCATTCTTGATGTGATTTCTCAATATTCTGGCGAAGAAATACATGTATAAGCTCTTTCTTATACGATTTCAAAGTTATGAATCCAAGTTTATTATTTTCTTTTAACTTCCCCCAACCCTAAAATATTAGGGTAGGGTGTGAGATTTTTTCTCATTACATACAATACCCTTTTTATATTGTGCATACCCGTTGTAAATGTATTTCTAGGAATTATTTCACAAGTTATAACTTCATAGAAGTCAATTAAAGTAAATTTTGTATTTCATCACTTTGTCATTTAACGTTTTTTATGACTGTATAAGGGTTAAATTATGCAAATTAGCTTATTTTCATATCAAGATATTTCTTCCGAATTACTGACGTTATAACATAAATTTTGGTGAAAGAATTAAGTTTGTACCTCATATACTTCCAAAGTTATGAATTAAAGTCCATTTCCATTTGACCCCCCTCAAATATCTGGGTAGGGGGACAATTTTTTTCAGCGTCGTTATGTTAGATACACTTTTAATATTTTGCACATCTGTTATACATATATAGATGCATTTTTAGGAATTACTTTATTTGTTAAAACTTCATGAGAGGTCAATTAGAGTAAATGTCGTATTTTATCGCGTCGTCATTTAACAGTTTTTATGACTGTATAAGGGTTAAATTATGCAAATTAGCTTATTTGCGTATCAAAAATATTTTTTCTGAATTACTGATGTTATTACATAAACTTTGGTGAAAAAATTAAGTTTGTACCTCATATACTTTTAAAATTATGAATTAAAGTCCATTTTTATTTGATCCCCTCCCCTCAAAAATCTGGATAGGGGGAGAATTTTTTTCACAGTCTTTATGTAAGATACACTTCTAATATTTTGCACATTTATTATACATATATAGATGCATTTTTAGGAATTATTTCATAAGTTATAACTTCATATGAAGGCAATAACAGTAAATGTGATATAACATCATTTCGTCATTTACTAGTTTTTATGGCAGTTTAAGGGTTAAATTATGCAAATAAGCTTTTTTTCATTCAAAATATTTTTTTCTTCATTACTGATGTTATTTCATAAATTTAGGTGAAAAAATTAAGTTTGTATCTCATTTACTTCCAAAGTTATGAATTAAAGTCTATTTTCTTCTGACCCCCCTAAAATTATAGGGCGGGGGGTATAAAGATGAAGATATCTTATTTTCGCAAGTCTCAAACTCTAGATATCACCCCACATCATAAAAGTAACTTATTTTCCAACAAGAACTGAAAAAATCTCGCGTAATACTTTCCAATATCCATTTTCACTTTCTAGCTGTTTCTCAGAACTTGGGTCCCTGAGTAGGAGGGGTTTGACAATACTCTGTTGCCAATCACGTAGAATTATTTCAAACATTCTGATATAAATCACAGTATTCTGCATCAGTATGTTGCAAACAGGGTCTAATTTAGACGTTAGAAAATCGTTGAAATCATTTTTTTAAATATAATATATTACCTTGATAATTCCAGAAGTATCATCGCAGGAAAAAAATTGGCATCATGTTCTATCTATGACTAAATCTATCAGAACACTTATTAACAAAATCTGACATTCAGTAAAATTGTTTTAAATATTATAGCATATTGTCTTCGTTTACACAACAGTAAAAAGTTTAGTGAAAATTAACTTTGTCTTGTAGAAATAAGACAAAATAAAAACGGAAAACATTTTTTTGCCAAATATTTGTTGCACTTTCTTTTTTCATATTGTTTGTTACTTGGGCTTTCAAAACAATTTTTATGAAAGGAGAGGACTTATCTCCTCTAAATGAAATACAAATTGGTAGCAGTATATGGTCCAATGCATTGAAATAATTTTGTGCAGAACAAAAAATGAATCTGATTACGGATGTGACACATCAGTTCAAATGTTACCGTGATGGAAATAATGTCACAGTTAGTTTAAAAAGGCGCACAAGCTAAAACAAATTTTGAGTCTCAGCTTTTGTTCCGTTTGTTGTTTGCCATCACAAGTTGAAAAATACATTTATGGTGTGAAAACCTAAAATATATTGTTTTCTCTATTTTTACAACTTTTCTCCATCTTTTTAAAAGTAAAACGAAATGAAGATCCTTTTACCAGAACCCTGTGACGTGTTTGTTATGTGTATGTGCTATGTTCAACTTTAATTTGCTTGAATAAGAGAGGGACCCATACGATTTCAACATGAGTGTAAATGGAGAATCGTAAGATAGGAGTCCATTTTATAAGGTCCCTTTTACAGGTTCCAAACCAAACCTCATCTAAGGTCCGACATTAACCATCGCGTGACACATTGCTTTATTTTAATTTTTCAGAAGCTTGTGTGGCTGTTGTCTGAAGACCCATAAAATTGATGGAAATGCAGTGAAAGCAGTACTAAGAAGACACTATGAAGCTCTTGGGAAATTCACGTAAGTAATTTCAACTAAAGACAAGGCATTGACATACAAAATCATAATGTCAACATCTGCCATTTGTTACAGACCACGAAAGCCGACTGCCGAACGCCAAACGCATAACATCGTTCACATAAAAGTTGGAGAGTAAGAATTTTATATGCATCACCACTTAAGTGGTGACATAAAATCACGGCGAAGCACCTGACATGATAAATCGCATTGCTATCCCTACCCTCTCCGGACGATATGTACGTGCGCTTATGAAAACTTGAGGAATCTTAAACATATATAAAGGCATATATATAAAGGCCTCCTCATACTCAAACGAAACCCCGCCAAGTCAGCTTGCATGTATTGGCGAATAGGAGTTTGGTGAAATTCGGTGTAAAAGGGTAGGGTAGGTCCTATCAAATTATGGTCCTACTCTCCATTGATTTATATGGTGACCTAAATACAACTCTTTTCCTTATTATCTTGTACGCAATCAGGGCCAGTTAAGAAAGAGGGCCATAATCCCTGGGGGACCATCATTTCTTTCACACCGGGCGACACTGATAAGCATTTTCCCATTTTTCTGTTCGTAACCCTAATTTACATATCACGCATTTAAATTGTGTAGCTAAACTATTTGAACAGATCGGAATTAAATAGAGTAAAAGCACAAAACAGTGCAGAAATAGGCATATTATCCACGGATAATAAGGACCATGCAAAGCCCCGATGTCGTATCGAATCGTTTCGTTTAGTACATATACTAAACCCCCCGGTATTTAATAAGCCTTTGCCTCAACATATAAATGGGACGGTGTAAAATGGTAGGTGGTCCTATCAAATTTTGGTCCTACTCTCTGTTGATTCATATGGTGACCTAATTACAATTATTTTCTTTATTATTTATACACAGTCAGGGCCAGTAAGGGCCGTTAGGAAAGGGGACCATAATCCCGAGTGGACCATAATTTCTTTTACACCGTCTTCGGGAATCCCCAAAACAATCATAACTATGGCGTGACATATGGTCACGTTTATGCAGATGAGAGAAATACATTGCAATTCGATAGAACAACCAAAGGCAAATGGGGACAATCCTCGTTTTAACTGTTGGTTTTTAACATTTCGAGACGAAAAGTCACAAAACTATCACAAATATGCTACATTATGAAGATAGATTGATTTACTTACCAATCAGAATACCCTTTCGGAAAGTTTCGGACGGCTTCGGCAGCATGCACAAATCGCCATAACTGAAAAATTTCCTCAATTCACAAGCCAGAGTTTTGTAGATTCGTTCATGTGTGAGAAGGAGGCCTTAACGCCTAGATCCTTACATTTTCAAGTGTGATAGCAAAACAGTGTCATTATTATCTTTCTCAGATCTAAAGGTTACTAGATATACAGGGTGCGCACTTATATGCACCCCCCCCTTAAACTCATACATGTAGCGTAATATTGTAAAGTTTCAGAATCCAAGGATGTCCTTGAAAAATATGTGGGGGGTACGGGGTTATTTAGAGGGCAATTTCTGGTCAGCTTGAGGGCAATTTGAGTTTCCGTATTGCATATACATTTCTAGAAGTTGCCATCATGGCAGAGCTCAGTACACATGTCTGTGACAGTTACACGTAGCTTATGCACCTAGATACATAGACATAGACTGGGTTCGTACAATGGCATATAGGGAGGCCGGGGACCATGGTGCCACCTAAAGGATGTCCTTGAAAATATGTGGGGGGGGGGGTACGGGGTTATTTAGAGGGCAATTTCTGGCCAGCTTGAAGGCAATTTGAGTTTCCGTATTGCACATACATTTCTAGAAGTTGCCATCATGGCAGAGCTCAGTACACATGTCTGTGACAGTTACACGTATGCACCTAGATACATAGACATAGACTGGGTTCGTACAATGGCATATAGGGAGGCCGGGGACAATGGTGCCACCTAAAGTTATCACTGAGAAATGGGTAGTAGACAGGCCCGCAACTAGGGGGGGGGGGGGGGGGGCGCTGGGGAACGGAAACTCACCCCAGCTAGAGACTCTTTCAAAATCATGCTGTTTTTGCTATTCTGAGCACTTTTCACAAGATTTTTAGCCAAAACCGTCAAAAAGCTCCCCCCTTGCCAAAAGCCCCCACTAATGTAATGGAAAAGAGAAGATTGCCATAAGATATGCAAAGAAATACAACTTGTAAATAAACAAAATATAATTTCTGTGCTACCAACTTACTATAATTCTTTAAAACGTTTTTCATCATTATCTAATATCGGTACCCACACTTAAGTATACCATTAGAAAGATATTATTTACGATGCTTTTGATAAGAATGAAATTAAATAACTGAGAAATCAAACCTTGCGTATGTTATTTAATATGTACCTCTAAAATGATGAAGCAATTTTACAAGGCAAGTATTCGCCGAAAGGTTCCCAATAAAGTACTCAAGGAATTAAATGTACTCAATAAAGTACTCAAGGAATTAAAGGTACTCAATAAAGTACTCAAGGAATTAAATGTACTCAATAAAGTACTCAAGGAATTAAAGGTACTCAATAAAGTACTCAAGGAATTAAATGTACTCAATAAAGTACTCAAGGAATTAAAGGTACTCAATAAAGTACTCAAGGAATTAAATGTACTCAATAAAGTACTCAAGGAATTAAAGGTACTCAATAAAGTACTCAAGGAATTAAAGGTACTCAATAAAGTACTCAAGGAATTAAAGGTACTCAATAAAGTACTCAAGGAATTAAAGGTACTCAATAAAGTACTCAAGGAATTAAAGGTACTCAATAAAGTACTCAAGGAATTAAAGGTACTCAATAAAGTACTCAAGGAATTAAAGGTACTCGATAAAGTACTCAAGGAATTAAAGGTACTCAATAAAGTTCTCAAGGAATTAAAGGTTCTCAATAAAGCTCTAATATGTCAGAATCGACACCAAATTGAACTATTATACATTTTGAAAAAGTATGTACATTAAAATAAAAACATTTAAACTTAAAAGGCCAATGCTATATATCTTAACCCTTAATGGATGGATGCCTCGACAGTTTAGTTTCTCTAAAAAAGAAATATGTCTCTCTTAAAATATTGGAGACAGAAACTGAAATCTAATCTTGAACTTTCATGTGTCGTTATTTATGATTGGACGTTTCGTTTGCAAAGATTATTTTATGCGATATAGAGACTTGGATTGTAGACTGCGGACTATTCTGTAGAAGTGCTCTAGAAATGGATCTCGCTTTTCATGGAAGGTCACACATTCCAACATATTTCAAACAATTTGTATGATTATAATATACACTTTCTGGGTAGTTGGACTTCATGTAGGGGTGGCAGAAGGCCCTCAGGCCAATTTATACCCCTACCCCAACAAAACCTTGGGGGTACTTTAATACCACCCAATAAAAATAATACTAATGCATATCAGATATTCATCGTTTTATAGTGGGTAGGGCATGCCATGGTTAGTCAGTGCCAGAAATTTCCAATCTCTGACTTATATGGTTACCATGGAAAGAGTATTTATATCTCACAATCTTCTCAATTTGACCCCGTCCCAAATGTGTCCTTAAGTTCTCAAAGTGAAATATTTGCAAATCTGTTTGGATTTTGTGGCTGCAACTTTGTCAAAAGTTGAATTAATATGTATGTATTCACACTAAAGCACTAAAAACTTGATATAATGATCTCATAAATTAATAATATTTATCAAATATAGTCACACACAACTGCGTTTAGGGAAAATTGGGCGTGGCACTTTTTGGTACTTGTGTAATTGTTGCAGCATTAAATGAAAAATACTTATTACACTAACAACAATTGACATTTAATTAGCATCTACTAACATTGTGTAACATTGTAGTATGTTCATTATCATTATTAGATACTTTAAATATTTTATATAAGTGTTATCATGACCCTTCCCTATCATAGGTCATTAATGGTCAAATTAACTTTTAAGTCCTAGAGGTCCTTAGTCTTTTTAGCTTGTCAAAGTCGTATTCATTGACTTGAAGCTAGATTATAAATAGTTTCATTGATCAAGAGCTATGAGTTAAAATTGATTAATACATTTGTCAGGGTTAGAGCCATTTTATGCAATTGAAAAGTAATGGACCGACACTGATCAGTATAACGGCCGTAACCTTCGCATCTAAGATGGTGGACAGTAATTGTCGATTTTGATATTTTTAATTTTCATTGAATTAAACTACTTTAGAGTTGATGTTATGCTTTGACATTTGCACCAAATCAGGCTTAAATGACATTGGAACCATAGATGTAGTAAACATGAATAAACGATATGTGAAATGTTATGCCCTGCCTTAATACATAACTAAGATTTTCTCGGATAAATGGTGTCTTACAATTGACTAACTGATTCTATTATCAACATCAGGTAATGCATGATCTATCCAATGGATTAATGAAAATACTTGATTCCAATATGGCAAAATAAATTATTCCATGTATGAATTGCATAGTGCATCATTTTGCAGATATTACATAATGCATTCATTGACTCATGGTCAACAAGGTACGGGTAAAACTCCTTTTAGTATTTCACAAAATAATGAAATATAAACAATTTACACATTTCTGAAATGCTGTACCTTTAGTGATTCCTTCGACCTGGAAAGTGGTTTGTTATGTTAAAACTTAAAATAATATCTAAACAAATCTGTTTAGTGTATAAAAACAATAAAAGTTAATATGTTTAATATCAAATATTATTAGACATATGAATATAACCTAAAATAAGAAATTTTGTTCTCGTATTCCATTTTAAAATTGGTTGAATGATTTTGGCACAGTAGAAATGATGGTCATGATTAAATATTATATGTAATATGCCCTGATGCTGTAACATCAATGGTCCTTTATAATCAGGTATGACTGAAATACTGGACAAGATCTTATAAGGTTACAGTTTCCATATAACGTATGTTCCATATTACTACCCCAAATCTCCATTGTGTAAGTTTATGAGTCATTATCCCACATAGTTTAT